TGTTTTAATTGAAGAAATATGGCTCCTTTGTAGGAGCTCCAACGGGACGTCCTTCCTGCATGATAGCTTCTTGAATGATACAGGCCAGAATTGACGGGCCACGATACCAAAACATGAGTATAAACATGCATTGCTATGAATTGTTTTCGATACGAATTCATAAAATCGATTATTCTCTCTTTAAATATAGAACTGTCTTCTCAATTTTACTGAATTTGCGTTTTTCAGTTTTGTGGCCCGTCAAACTGGATGCGCACGCAACCCTAAACTCGTAGAAAACTCGACCTCGTAATCCAATAGACGACTTGCACCTTAAAAGGAGCAGTTTTGTCAAAATGAAGAGCAGAAATGAATAGAGCATCTCGGTATTAGCAGGGAGGCCGAGTTTCAGCTCATAATAAGCGAAAAAGGAGAAATGGCATTAGATATAACATCAAATGTTTTATGAGGTTTTGTATGGGAAAATGCACTGGATGGCAATCAAAAGCTTACAAGCCAACACTTTTCCCATACAAATCCTTGTAAAATATTTTATTTTATATTCAATATCATTTCAACATCTCGAGCTGAAACTTCGCCCTCTTAATATGTGTTCTTTTCATTTCTGGAGTTCATTGACTCATTTGCTCTTTTAAGAGGGATGGAGTCATGTGACCTCTTAGTGCAAGTCGTCTACTGTTAAATAAAGGTTTGGGTTAGGTAAGGGTTTCTCTCAATAGTCTTACATGAATTGCTAACCAGTTTCAGGGTACTGATAAAAATTGAAATTTTTTATACCAAATATCAAGAGAATATTTGAAAATAAGGAATGTGTCTTTTTAGGTACTGGGAACTGCTCCTGCTTTAAAGTATGGGAATGCATATAAGTATAGATAGTTATATTTAGGATTTCTTTTCAGAATTTTATGTGAAGAAAGGTTAATCATAAAAAAAATTCAAAGATTACAATCAAGCTTTATTTTTGAAGGTGAGGTCTCAAGATAAGAGAGTCAAGATAAGAGAATCAAGATAAATGATATAAAAAACAATATGTGGACTATTTGTTGGTATTGATCAAAAATAGGATCCAACTATACAGCATCTCTAAACCTTATACAAATTCAAACCCACATGTAATAATACAGGTAACAAGATTATGCAAGGTGTTGAACGTGTTGAGTTGTTCATACAGATTGCAGAATAAAATTAATGTCACTTGTATTACTATCTCATGCACAACACATTCTCTTCATTACACATAGTAACTACGTTTTACTGTTTGCAACAAAGATTTCTTACACAGTTAAATGAGTGCTAAAATTAGCAGCATTTGCTCTGCAGCATGCACAGTTTTATTGCATGGCCTTATTGCTTGTATTACTGCACCTTTAATAAAGAGCACTGGATATGATTAATGCTAGTTGCCATCCTAAGATAAAACAAATGCTGTTCCTATACAAATGTCTATCAGTTATGACACCATTGATTAAGAACAAAATTATGCTTTTGAGAAACAACTACAACTAGAATGATTTTCATAAACCTGTAAAATAAATGTCAAAGTAACAATTATTAATACAAACTAGTACAAGTTATTACTCATTAGACTTTCAACAATGAAGTTATAAATAAACTTCAATAAACTTTCACTGAATAAACTTTAATTTTCTCGCTAATAACTGCTATTACACATTATTATGTGTTAATAGAAGTTTATAGCTAAATTTTGTTTCACAGGTTTTGAAAATCACTTTATCACCATTTGAGTCCACACAATGCTGAACATCACTACAAATAAGAAACACATGCAGGATATAAAGAAATGTTGTGTTTTTTTTTTTAATCCTAATTTCTGTTTCAAAATTAAAAAAGTAACAGTCAGATACAAGTTTGTGTTTTAAACTTTTGAACTGTTATATATGGATCTCTACTCGTGACTTTACAAGGCTTTGTGGCATATGATCATTAAAGTGTAAATAATAAATCTATGAAAGAAAATCCAATTAACAGTTTCTATTTATTAACTATTAGCCACTATCACCCAACTACGACAGTTATTATAACAATACACCAGTGACAAGAATACAAGAACAGCTATTGTATTGCTGGCTTTCACTCAGCTGATAAAAGTTTTGAATCTCATTATCTGATCCACGTGCTGTCAGCCAGAAAGAATTCTATTGAAAACTTGTGATTCGACTGATGAACATTCCACACGAGACGGAATTATGTCACTAGTGCAACTCATGACCAATTTGAATGGCTATTTTCTGTACTGAATAGCCTTCTCACTGTATTTTCACTGTATGAGAGGCTAGTCAGGGTCTTGAATAATAATGGAAGTCATATTTCTATTCCATGTATACGAGCAAGTAGAAGTGATGGCTAAATAGTGAATTTTATGCCTCCTGGGTATTGATATTAATACTGTTCTGGTTGAGTGATAGTGATAACAGCCACTAAATAAAGACTGTTGCAAACCAGAGTGACGATACTTAACCCATGACATAGAAATAAGTCTAATACTTCTAAGTAGAGTGCAAACTATATATTCGTGAAATAGTGTTAACTAATTAGTACAAAATGGCATCAATAAAACAATTGAAAACAAAAGAAAGAATGTGTTTAGAGTGGCAACAGTATAACCATGAAACTTTAGTAATACTAAATAGCACAATTTCATGCAAATTCCATTGTTTTCTATTGTTTAGTTAGCACTATTTTGTACTATTTAGTAATTAGTGTTTCACGGATTTATTGTTTTTACTCTAGTGTTATTTAGTTGGTGTGTTATTTAATGGATATATATGGTTTACACTCTAGCCTGTGATTACAATGTTGTCTTATATTTTGTATCGACTTTTAAACATTAAGTTCTAGGTTTTGTTTTATGGCTGTTGTCATCACTCTAACAAATGAATATAATTTTACTTCATGGATTTAATGTTTGCACCATAGGCAAAAAGTGTGTGTTTTTTTCTTCTAAGAAGCGTTTTACTACTAAGCTTTTATTCAGGCCAATACTGGTATTGTAAATCCACGGCCATCACATTCTGCTGTAAGATCCAACTTGTCTTCTGCAGTTGGGACAAGAGTGGAGTACGTCCTTGCAGCCATCAATGACAAATGGCAACCAACAACATGGCCAGCTGCAAATAATAAACAAAATGTCATGTCAACGATGATGATAATGATGATGATGATAAGGGATCTTATTTAGCAAAAATGAGTGAAGGCTACTGTGGTGCCCCTGTCCAACTTAGTAATGTTATCTTGTTACCAGTACGCTACTAACTCAGCAGGAACATAGGCAGGGGCCCTCCCCTTTTTGGCAACGAAATGGGACATCGGTAATTTAAATTTTTTTTGTGAAAGTAAAATGTAAAAACACTTTCGAATAAATGTGATAATAGAGAAAAGACTTGTACATTTATTTCTTGTTATTTTATGTCCCACTTTACAAATGTAATACAAATAAATGTGCTTATGAGATGGCATAAATGTGGCATTAATAACATTCTTTTCAACAAGAATAATGTGCATGAAGCCAAATATTTCCCCCCTCATACTGTAGATAGAAACCTATATTTACACAGGGTTATCCAGTCAGATATACAAAATGCAATCTGATATCAAAAGGAGCCCTGTACATCTTATGCTATGGAAGTAAAATTCAAAATTTAGTTTCAACTTTTTTAGAACTTGAGGAAACCACAAAAAAGCTATTTTGTACTAAAGAATGCTATAGCTACCAATGCAAACAAGCTTCCATGAACAGATGTCCTAACCATCTTGTCATCCATTCATATGTAATGTATGTATGTCAAAAAAGTGGTTGGTCAGTACCCGCTCATTCTCAATGGGCAAATTAGTTTTACCGCCATTTGCATTGCTACGCGGCAACCCAAGCAAAAATCGCGGTGTGCACTTTGCAATAGACTGCCATTAATTAAACACATTGACATCATTTACACGTGTGTGATTCAAAAGGTGCCAAAGTGCACGTCACGATTTTTGTCTGGGGTGGCTGCGTAGCAATGCAAATAGGGGTAACTCAGTCCTACCTAGATTCTTGCTAAACATTAGTGGTTAAAATGACAGGCAAGACAAATATGCGCCGACTGACTTGGTTATGTGCTATATTCTTGTTTCCTTTAATGACTCCAGAGTTGCTAAATCATTAATAACAAAGTCTGCCATCATTTTTTATCATATGTTCATTTAAATCAAATTAAAAAAAAGTATATTAGCTTCTTACAATCTGGCATAATTGACCACTATATAAATTATAGCTATACTTTGATAATTCATTTGGTACTGATATTTCATCTCATTTTATTTATTTTTTATTTAGTTACTTTGTGCTTTTTGTCAGGTCATGTACTCCATATTGTGAGACTTATTCATTATTTACTAATTTAATTATTCATTATCTTATCCATTTAAAATATGCTAATATACATATATTTTTTCTGTATTATTCTCCCAAGTTTATTGCCGAATGTTTTTTAAAGCTTTTGTGTTATTTCTGAGTACCTTTTACCATAAACTGTAATTCTTTCAACTTTGTAAAATCTATTTTTCAATATATGGTAATAACGTTATTGTTGTTGTGAAATCGTATCCTTTACCTTACTTTAAAAGGTAAAGTAAAGTGACTACATTTAATGTTGGCAGTTCCTTCAATTGAGATTCAACTGCTATCAATGGAAGCCAAAACTTTGCACTTAACCTCCTTTTTTTTAATCAGTGCTCTGTTTTAATAATATCCAAGGCGAAGCTACACAGATTAGAGAGAAGTTATTCAAAACAGGCGTGAAGATCCTGAGGATCGAACCGTGGACCTCTAGCTCCGAAGGTCGTGCCCTAACCAAATGATCTACACCTTTCATTAACGAATTTCAAAGTCAAACTGGGGAGGCTAAGGGAGGAAGAGGCCATTTTACAACCAAAAGTCTGCATAAAAAAAGCTTTTTAATATGATACAGCTAATTTACGTCACATGTTCTACCAATATCTCTCATGTTTTGATTGGACTTTCGGCAGCAAAAATCTAGGCTGCAACTACACTCAAAATTCTGGCAATGGATGAGTTCCCAGTAATTTGATCCTGCGTTTCACGCAATGCATCTATGGATTGCCAGGGGGCAAACAAACCAAGTCGTCACAAGAGATGTATGGGGAAGAATCATATTTTCCACTAAAATCTGTGATTTGGTAGTGAATACTGCACTTTATCTCTCTAATTTTATCGGATATGAAGTCAGAAATATGTATTCATCGAATATGTGAGTTTTTTGTTTGAATAGTGTGATATTACAGTCGGAAAACTCAATTTTCTCGYGTAAACTAGATTGTGAAAGTACATAGTGACACTTTGACTAAATGACTCAAAATAGCAAGATTTTTGTGCAGACATTAATGGAATTACTCAAGAAGATTTAAAATTTAAAGATTCGAAAGCTACATTTGAATTCCCAGAATAACTTACTGTTCACACGTGACAAATTAGCTCTAAATATCATTATATGTGTATGTATAAACACATACACCGTTCTCATAATGGCTGACAAGCACACGAAAACGAGGTCATTCAATCATTTTGCAAGGCTGCTTATTCAAAATAAGGTAGATATTGCAAACTTAGGCAAAAACAAAAGGTCAAATTCTATAATCTTCACAATCTTAATGATGAACCATACACGTTTTGAATTTCAAGAGGACAAAACCCTCAAATTTTAGGTAATATTCCATTATTTTTCAAAGTTTAAGACAGTTCTGTTCATTAGAACAATGTAAAAATTTGTTCTGTTTGTTTTATGCTCAATTTTAACGATAACTTACACACCGTAGAACCTGAACGAAAAAAGTTTTTCCATTGTCTACAATAGTTTACTACGACAACTTTTATCAGTATTTTATAAATATAGTCTAAGTTACATGTTCGGAGAAAATTACTCATGTTTCTTCCTTAGTGTTGGTTTTATGATTTTCCCCCAAAATTGTATAAACRCATGTCATTCCGGAGTGATTATCTCAAAAACAAGCTCCTGACACCCCATTTAAAAAAAAATCAGCATTAAATTTAAGGTTAGGAAAGTTTCAATTTTCAGTTTATCATTTATCAAAGAAGTCAGCCACCTTAAGCTTTTGTCGTATTGTCTGATGCACAAGTTTATAGCATGTTTTATTGTATGGCAAGGTAATTTCATGCGCTATGATTGGTCAATTTGCGGTCCAATACTTACGGTCTGGACCGAAAAATGAAATGGTTCACTGAGTATACGTACTTATGATCTTTTAAAACATTCAAATCTTCGTTATAAAAAACTATTTATTGATGAAAATCATCGGGAAACCTTAATAAATTATTAAAGATAACCAAAAGAATATTAATATTCTCTTGAGATAACTGAAAGTCACTGGAATTTGATGTAAAACTTAACATACGAGCGACARCTCTTTCAATCAAGGCTCTACAGTATTTTTCATCTTGGTTGTGAATATCTTGAAGTCAAAAGGAATTTTTGAAGTACGACAGTTTTCTTCTCAACTCATGTTGAGTTCTTGAGGTCTTCTTTTGATGCCTTCTTTGCTTTGCATTTACATGTTTTGCAAAAGAAAGCCTCACTTTTGTTAACTAGTATTTCAGAAAACTTTAAACTATAGCTAAATTCTTTCAAAGTAAACTTAAACTTCTCTTTCTGAGCGACTCATACACTACATGACTTGTGGCACGTACAGGAAGTTCTTCCAATGCAGTGCTCGTTTGACATGTGTTGTCAACTTTACTTTTAATCTCAATGCCTTGCCATACAATAAATATCTTATTAACCTCGTTTGCCCAGTCTGTACCTTAAGTTATGGATCCTCGTCTTTTTCCACTTTTTCATGGCCCCGCTACGCGCTTAGGCCATAAGACAGTGGAAAAAAACTCGGTCCATAACTTACGGTACGGACCTCGCACTCGGTTAATAAGAGCTATTTACCAGACTCTAGGCAGACAAACTTTGTGATCTAAACATAGCCCTTTTATATTGAAAAATCTTAAATGCCATATTAAATTGTTTTTAAGATGATAGACCCTTTATTGTTAATAAACTTTGGCTTTTAGCTAAGCTTAGTATTGTAAGATCTTTTATGATAATTTTTAGTTCCTCGTAGACCGTTTCTCGTCCACACAGAACTTTATCGTAATAAAAAGCATCTCGATTTAGCTTAAATTATCCATAATAATATTATTTTTCTATAATACAAGCCAGTTTTTCCATCTCTCTGTCCCTAACCTACAGAAGTTAAGATTTCGTCATCAACAAGCTAAGGTATAAGGTATCTTCCCAGTTCTAGAATATAGCTCCTGTTTCACTTTTTGCTTAACAAGTTAAGAGAGTAAAACCAACAACTAAACTTAAGTATATAAAAACAAAGCCTCAAAGGCAAGAAAACGAGGAGACATTCTTTAGCAATACAGGCGCTTATGAGTGTTTTAACTAACTAGAAATCTAGAATACTTACAAGACAAAGAAGAGAACAACACAAATGATCCAAGCTAGAGAGCCAGGCACGTATTCGGTGGCAGTGACGATACTCGCTTGGCAGTGAGGGCACATCATCGCCACTGGAGTCTCCCCAAAGAACGCCGGAGTAATGACAGTAGTTGTAGGCTGTGTTTGGATGATTGTGGTAGTGTTATGGGACTGTTGATGATGAGCTGGGTAAGGTTGGGATGGAGGATAGCCTTGTTGAGGGTACCCAGGCTGTTGTGGAGGGTATCCAGCTTGTTGTGGTGGATATCCAGGTTGTTGAGGAGGATAGGGATTTTTCTGTGGATCCCCAGGATATGGTGGTGGTGCCTGAGACATATTGGATTCAGTTATTACACTGCTTCTTGGTAAACTTTGCTTAAATTCCTTCGATATTTTCTGCCCTTGATGGATCCTCAATCCGATATCGATTGACGCATCCCTAAAACAAATCACGTGATCTTCACAGTCCGCCCACGCTTGTCACGTGATCAGGCTTTCAGCCAGCCTAAAATTCGATTTTTAAATATAATTGTTGTGCTTTTAATTCGTGTTTTTTGTGCGTGCGTGTGTGGCAAACCCACAAATCCCACAAAATATTGCGGTGTTCATAAATACTAGTAAATACGACGCATATACGGGAGCCCCTTTTTCCTCTTACACTAGGATGTCACATCAAAACAATCTTCAACAATCTATGGTTTAAACGCAAAGGATCATGGTCATCGGACGGGGTCAAATCAACGCAAGTTCGTACCTGTATCAATCACAGGCAGCCCAAACAAGGTTCCTGTGTATGGTTTATAAGGAAATGTATGGGAGTTATGATTAAGGTCATGAAAATAAAATGTTTCACTCAACAATTTGCCTCAAAACTTGCTGCAGTTGTTGCTTTTACTTTTATCAGCCTCCTGGCGACGTTTCATCGCGATTTGAGGCCGTTTAATGGTTTTTTTTCAAAATCCGCTTTTCTCTAAAAAAACCCACTAAACGGCCTCAAATCGCGCTGAAACGTTGCCAGAAGACTGAACAAAGTAAAAGCAACGACTGCAACATGTTTTGAAGCAAATTGTTGAGTGAAACATTTTATTTTCGTAACTTTATCATGGCTCCCATACATTCCCTTATAAACCATACACAGGAACCTTCTTGGTTCCGTTCTTATTTACTGACGAGGTCTCAGCTGTGCAGTGTTAACGGAAGTCTGTCTGAGCCTTGTACTGTGAGCTGCGG